TGGGAGGCGTGGGGAGCCAAGAGCTGGAAAATCAGAGGGCGTGGGGGTCCCGGACCCTGCTTCCCAGCTACTGCGGGGCCAGGAGTGCCTTCCTGTTATTCTCTCCCCACAGCCACCTCCCTTCCCAGAGGCAGGAGAGGAAACTGCCCTGTTCTGGGGGTGTTGGAGCGTCCCCCACGTGGCCCTCCGCCATCTCCCTGAGCCACCGGACAGTTGGCTCCAGCTGTGCAAACGGATGAGAAGGAGACGAGAAGCCGGCCCCAACCCATGATGCTCCACCCACCAGGCATGGGGCCGGGAGCCTGGGCTGTTCCCGAGCCCAGAAGACACCCTGTACCCCTGGTCTGGCCCTCCATCCTCATGGCCATCCCAGGTGGATGGGGAAACTGAGGCACTGAGAGGTTTTGCTTTTTAAGTAGCTAAGTGAGCATTAGTCAGGGTCAGTGACTGGGTTGGTTCCACCCCTGGGCATTGGCAGCCGTGTCCCAGGTGGGAGATGGCCGCCTCATCAGGGTATGGGGCTCAGGCATGAGATGGTACTTGTGTCTGGATGTCAGGGAATTGGTCTCAGAGGTAGGACCAGGCATGACACAAAGGTTGGCTCCCCAGGTCTGGGATGGCCAGTGATATTGTTCGGGAGGACATGACATCAGAACCTAAGTCACCACCATCGAGAGCTCACAAAACGGATAGGACCTTGGGAACGCATCCAGGCCCCCAGTCCCAGGACAGGAGGCCTGTGCCTTAGGGTCCCTTCTCCCATTGTGACCGAGCTTTTCACCGGGCATCTACCTTCTAATAGGGGTTCCTTGTGTCCCCCCTCAACTTGTATGCTGGAGCCGCAGCACCCAGGACCTCAGAATGGGATTGTATGTGGAGACGGGGCATTTAAAGAGGTGATGACAGTAAAACGAGGTCACTGGGGTGGGCCCTGATCCTACATGACTGGTGTCCTTATAAGAAGAGGAGACGAGGACACAGACACACATGGACGACCGCGTGAGGACACAGGGAGAAGACGGCCATCTCCACACCCAGGAGAGAGGCCTCAGGAGGAAACAGCCCTGCCCTCCCCTGGGCCTCTGACTTCCAGCCTCCAGACTGGGAGACAATGAACGCTGTGGTTTGAGCTGCCCTCTCTGCGGTGTTTGTTACACAGCCCGAGCTGGCTGAGATGCTGTCCAGAATAGAGCCTCCTCTGCAGCTTCCCTCACAGCTAGGATGTGGATGGGGTGTGTGTTAGTCAGGATTCTCCAGAGAAACAGAACCAATAGGATACATATAGAGAGAAAGAGATTTATTTTCAGGAATTGGCTTACATGATTGTGGGGCCGGCCAGTCTGAAACCTGAGAGGTGGAGAAAGAGATTTAGTATAAGGAATTGGCTCACATGATTTGGAGGCAGAGAAGTCCCAAGATCTGCTGTCTGCAAGCTGGGGACCCAGGACAGCCAGTGGTGTAGTTTGAGCCCAACTCTGAGGACGGGACCAACGTCCTAGCTCAAGCAGTCACATATGAGGAGTTTCCGCTTTCTCTGCCTTTTTGGTCTATTCAGGCCTTCAACTGATGGGACGAGGCCCACCCACACGGGGAAGGGTGATCTTTACTCAGTCTGCAGATTCACTGTCAGTCTCCTCCAGGAGCACCTCACAGGCACACCCAGGGTCATGTTTAATCTGGGTGTCCCGGGGCCCAGTCAGGTTGACATAGACAATTAACCATCACCAGCAGTCTGGAAGCAGAGCTGCTGCCTCAGGAGCCACAGTCTTTGCTTATAAGGCCGTCACCTGATTGGGCAAGGCCCCCACACACAGGGGAGGGCAATCTGTTTTAAGTCTGCAGATTGACAGTGTTAATCTCATCTAAAAACACATCTTCACTGGGGTGTAGTGGTTGAGTTTGGCACACTCTGCTTCGGCAGCCTGGGTTCAGATCCCTGGCACAGACCTGCACTGCTTGCCAGTCATGCTGTGGCGGCATTCCACATAGAAAGTGGAGAAAGACTGGCACAGATAATAGCTCAGGGTGAATCTTCCTCAGCTAAAGAACTAAACAAACAAAAGACACACCTTCACTGCGACATCTAGACTGGTGTTGGGCCGACCACTGGGCATGGACCCACTGCCTGAGCTCCATCTGCCTTCTGTGCTCAGACACACAGCACGCCAGCCCCCAGCAGCCCGACAGAGTCATCCCCTCACTGACCCAGCTGCCGCACACTGTACCTGCACCACTGAGGAGTAGCGGACAAAGATGAGAGACTCGACGGGCTTCACGGTTGCTGGAGTTGCGGCGGATGCTAGACGTGGTAGAAGAAGCGGGCAGCGGCTGCAGAGGCCAGGGAGGGGCTGGGAGGCTTCCTGTGTGGCCAGGGGGCCAGCTGACCAAGGCTCCCCAGGTCTCCACGGGTGGTGGTGTCTCCAAGAGGCCCCAGCAAGACCACTGGCTCAGTGAGTGAGGAAGTCTGAGCTGGCCCGGCCCAGACCCCTGGGCTGCGGCTGCACTGGCTCAGCCCGCGTGGGAGAGGCTGTGATCCCAACCAAAGGGCCTGAAGCTTGACCTAAAGTTCCCTCTCCGTGGCTGGGGGAGCCTGCCCTGGACGAAGGCTGAGTGGAATCAGAAGGTTCTTCCCTGAGCACACACAGCACACACCTGCCCGGGCCGTCCCATCAGCCGGCTTCGTGGCTTCTTTTCAGGCAGATGTAGGGGAGTCTGCACCCCACTTCCCACCTCTCATGGACCTGTCCACATCAGGGGGGCCTTATGGCCCCAAAGCGGGCAGGCTGAGTTCAGATCGAGGTCAGCCTCCAGGCGCTGCTGGGGTGGGCACCTGCATCCTCAACCAGGCCTCACCGGCCCCTGGCTGTTTCTGAACCCCAAAGTCACCAGCTGGCCAGCTCGGACTGCCCCCGACCCCCCAAGGTCCTGAAGTCCTCCAGGGCCTCCACTGAGGGGAGACCCGGCCCCAGGAGGCTGACAGGGAGGCCGTGGAGGGGCTGCGGCAGGGTGCCGGCCAACCTCGCTGCCTTGCAGTGATGCGGGGTTGGTGAGCCGAGGAGTCGAAAGAAAGATTTCTTAGACTCTTAAGATCTGGCAGTAGTGCTCTTTTATTTAGAGACTAGAATAGCATGGGGACAGGACCCATGGGCAGTCAGAGCTTCTGCTGCCGCTGCTTCTGCTGCCCCCGCTGGCATGAGGACAGAGCCCATGGGCAGGCAGAGCTGGTGCGTGGGGACAGGACCCGGGGGCAGTCAGAGCTCCTGCTGCTGCCCCGAGCTGAGGGTTAGGGCTAAATTTAAGGCATAGGTATATGATTCATCTCTTTACAAGACAAAGGAAAGAACATGAAAAAAAGTTAAAATGGTATCAGTGCAGGTGGGGTCTGGTCATTGGGTGATCCCATGACTTTTAGAGAAGAATAAAATCGGATTAAGTAAAGGTTAGAAAGGTCAGAAGCCGCCACCCTAAACCAGTTACATGAGATTGCCAGACGCAACCAACTTAAGTTCTTGCCTTCCCCATTAAGAGCTTCTAGGGACAAGGTCATCTCTCTTCTTCTTCCTGGTACAGAGAGGGAGGCACCTTTTACAGATAGAGATTTACCTTACAAATGTAAATGTGTCTCAACAAGGGCAAGTTCCATTCTCCAGAGCCTCCTTCCCTGTCCCAGTTTATCAAAAGCAATCAGCCCCAAACAATCCTGATGCCAAAGAGACATATCTTGGGGTGGCCAATTTCCGGTCCCTACAAGGTCACCTCCCCTTCCTTCACAAACGCAAATGTCTCTCAAAAGGGCAAGCAAAATTCCAGTCCTCGGAGCCTGCTTCTCATCTGCAGTTTTAAAAGTAACCAGCCTAAAAATCCTCATCATAAACCATTTTAAAATTAAGCAGCCTAAAAATCCTCATCAGCAGGAGTCCACCGCCAGCTCTGCCACTCACCAGGCCAGACAGCACCATACCCACCGCACGGCCCCAGCCCCCAGTCCCCACTCCGGGGCTGGCACATTCGCAGACCTCCCTCTACTGGAGAGGTGGGCAGTGAGTCCCTGCTCCAGATCTGGATTTTCTCTCCCTCTGAAACTGCCAGCATCCCCGTGCAGGACTGCGTGAGGGCAGGGCTCACCTGTGAGGGGGCTCTCCTAAGCCTAAGGCTCACCTGGGGTCAGGGCTCACCAGGGGGCAGAGCTCACCTGGGGTCATGGCTCTCCTGGGCCTAAGGCTTACCTGGGGGCAGGGCTCACCCAGGGGGAGAGATCACCAGGGGGCAGGGCTCACCTGGGGCAAGAGCTGACCTCGGGGCAGGGCTCACTCAGGGGCAGGGCTCACCTGGGGGCAGGGCTCAGCTAGTCAGGCCCCATGGAGGAGAGGGACTCAGCACGCAGTTGGCTTCTGACCAGAAGGCTAAGTTTAGGGTTGGGGCTCAGCCCAGGCTTGGAGCTTGGCCCCGGGACCCAGAGAGAGTCTGTTGGCTGGGAGTGGCTGTCAGGGCCTGCCTTGGGCCTGAGGAAGGCTGGTAGACAGCTGGGGTCCCCAAAGTTTTGACCGATGTGGCTCCATGCTGGCAGCAGCTGATCCCCTTACTGTGCCCACCTCTCCCCGTCAGGCTGCAGGCTTTGGCCAGCGTCCAGATAGTGTTGGGGCTTGAGACTGGACTGCCCTTCTGTCCTCTGAGCTGCAGGCTGAGCTTGGGCTCTGGTGCGAGCTGGCCGAGCTCTTTGCTCTCGCCATCTGTGTGCTGGGCTGTGCCCTTCCTGGCTGCTGCCTGGCACTGACCAGCACCAGCGAGTCTGAGGAGCTGCGGGGGCTTGGGCTTCGGCCCTGCTCTCCCAGCCTGCCTGAAGGGGAGCCGTGTCTCCTCAGAGGCCAGTGATGGACAGGCACACACATGTGCATACACACTACACGAACACACATGCACATGCACAGACATGCATGCATACTCACCAACACCACACGTGTGTACACCACAGGCACAGATACACTACACGTGCATGCACACACGGTCGTAAACAAGTCAGTTTTATTTTACTTCCTTTGTTTTGGATGCTGTGTCTGAATTAGGGAGGGGGCTGGAAGGCACAGAGGCCGTAGCTGGGAGCCACGGAGCGTCGTCCCCCAGCACAGCAAAGCCACAGCCCTGACCACCACCTGACAAGGCCACCACCCTCAAGGTGGCTAGCGTCTTGGCGGAACTTCAAGTGTGTCCCAGAGAAAAGGGCTGCCCCAGTGGGCGCAGAGTCTCAAAGGACGTGGACCCGTCCACCCTAGGCCCCTCCAGGGCCTTGCCCCAGTTCTGTCTGGGCAGGGAACTGAGTAGAGCGCAGGCCCCCGCAGTTGCCGGAGGAGGACCAGGCAGCTCGGCTCTGGGCCCAGCACAGCCACCCACGAGGAGGTGCAGACGGGCTGGGCACTGGGGTCCCACCTCCAGGGCCTCGTTTTCCCTTTCTAGGAGGAAGACCTGGGACTGCTTCCAGCTCTGCAGGAACCAGACCGCCAGCTGGGGGTGGGTGCTGGGGAGAAGCCCCCTTAGCTGCAGGGAGGGGGAACAAACACAGTACTTCCCAATGCCCTGGCCAGACACCCCTGGGCATCACATAGGAGCTGCTGCTGGGGAGCGCGCTGTGGGGTGAGGAGCCCTGCCTGGCCAGACCCCTTGTCCTGAGGCCGTGGCCAGGGTTCAGTGAGGCTCGTGGGAAAGGGGGTGGGCAGTGCCCCAGCCACTGTGCCGCCCGCCCTCAGGTTTTGGATCAGAGCTGGAGACCCTTTGTGGTTCCCAGGCCTCCCTCCCCCTCCTCTCCTGGCAGAGAGGGGGCTCAGGAGGGAGGGGCAGCGGCGCAGAGCAGGGCTGCCTTTGTCCTCCCAGGAGGGTAGGCGGTGGGCCAAGGAGGAAGAGGAGGAGGAGGAGGCGGAGGGCTGGTTGTGCTCTGCGCCCAGCTCGTCCAGTCCCCAGCCTTCACCCAGGGCTCCGACCCCGAGCGCTGGCTCGGAGGGAGTTGGAGAGCCGCGAGGGCGGGACCTCAGATCCACACGGTGGTCTTCCCCTCCCTGCTGCTGGCACTACCCTTCTCGGAGCCCGCCCTGGGCTTGGCGCCCGGCCGGCCCTGGCCGCCGCCCGTGCCCCCCGACGTGGCACTCCCCGACCCGGAGGCGGGGGCGCCGGGCCTCGGTGGCCCCCGGGCGGCCGTGGGGAGGCCGGGGCAGGGCGGGCTGTCGCGGTCCCCGAGCGCGCGCCCGTCTCGCAGCGCCTGCAGCGCCAGGCCAGCCAGGTCCTGGTCGTGGGCGCGCGCGCGCTCCGCCGCGCGCACCACCAGGCTGTAGTCGGGCGGGCCGGCCAGGCCGGGCGCGGCGGGCAGCGCGCAGGGCGGTGGGCGCGGCGCGGGGCCGGAGACCGTGGGTGGTGGACGACGGGCGCGCACCGCGTCCTGCGCGCTGCCTAGGCCCAGGTGCGCCATCTCGCAGAGGTTGAGCAGCAGGCAGAGGCAGCTGACCACGTACATGACCAACAAGAAGACTGTCTTCTCGGTGGGCCGCGATACGAAGCAGTCGACCACGTGCGGGCAGGGCTGGCGGCTGCACCGGAAGAAAGGCCGCACCTCGAAACCGTACAGCAGGTACTGGCCCACCAGGAAGGCCACCTCGAAGGCGGCGCGCGCCACCAGCTGGGCCACGTACACGCGCATCAGGCCCTCGCGCTGGATGCGCCGCCGCCCGTCGTGGGGCCCAGCTGGGCCTGGGGCCCCCGCGCCCTTGGCGTCCCCGCCCGTGCCCTTGGCCGCGCTCACGTCCTCCGCCTCGTCCTCGTCGCCCAGCCCCTCGGCCACCCCCGGCTCCTCGTCCTCCTCGCCCAGGCCCAGCATAGGCTCCTCCTCGGCCAGGCCAGCGGGCTCGGGCCAGCCGGGGTTGGGGGGCGGCGGCGGCGGCGCGCGGCGGCGGGGCGCGCGGCGGCCCTCGTGAAGCGAGGCGCGGGCCAGGCGGTGCACCGCGTAGCCCAGGTACATGACGGAGGGCGTGGAGATGACCACAATCTGGAAGACCCAGAAGCGCACGTGGGACAGGGGCGCGAAGGCGTCGTAGCACACGTTGTCGCAGCCCGGCTGCCGCGTGTTGCACATGAACTTGGTCTGCTCGTCCGAGTAGATGGACTCGCCGCCCACGGCTGTGAGCACGATGCGGAAGACCACCAGCACCGTGAGCCACACCTTGCCCACGAATGTGGAGTGGTTGTGGATCTCCTCCAGCAGCCGCGTCAGGAAGCTCCAGCTCATGTTGGTCATAGGGGCTGGGGACAGGACCTGCAGGACCACGAGGAGCTCAACCCGGGCCGGGTCAGGCCCAGCGGGGAACTCGCCGCCTCCAGGAGCGTGGCCCCGCCCAGGTCCTGACCCTGCTCGTGGGATGGGTGCAGGGAGAGGCCGGGGCCCCGCGGGCAGAGGACAGGCCGCCTCGCTCCCGCTGAGCACCCACCTCGCCCCGCCCCCAGACCCGACCCAGGTCCACGTGGCCTGGAGCCGTGCCAGCCTTTCCTGCCCTCTCCCAGACCCCCAGGAAAGCCTGGTTTGGTGCAAGCCACTCCCCTTCAGGGACCCGGCCCCAGCCTAGGAGCACAGGGAGTCTGCTGCGTGAGCCACATTCGTGGGTCAGCCGAGGAAGCTGAGGCCAGCCCCGCTCAGAGTCTCGAGGCCATGCAGCCTCAGCCCAGATGTATCTGCGGTCTCCACCCCACACACTCTCTGCAGCGCCCAGGTCGCTGGAAAGGATCCCATGGAATTCAATTCCCAGCATCCCAGAGGCCCCCGGCCTGCCCAGCCCCCAAGCCCTCCCCCTCCCCAGCTCGTAGGCCACTCCAGTGCCCCATCAACCCCCACCCCCCAGCTCCAGCCCCCATGCCCCCAGGCTCACCAACAGTGTGCCCTGCCTGCTTTCCTCCACACCCTGCACAGGGGCTCTTGTCCCTCCGCCTCCACGAAGGACCCTCGTGCTTCTTCATACACCCCTGCCCCTGTCCCCATCTTGCTGCACCAGGGACTGCTGCCACACTCCCTGGGGCACCCTCGTGTCCTCAAAGCCAAGATGTCGGCTGGGGGCAGGGTGAGGCCAGGTGTCTGCCCAGGAAAGGACCGTGTTCAGCGAGGTGCACAGACACCGTAAGGTACCTGGGACACTCAGGGACAGCCACGGCACCACTCACCACGTCCCACCACAGGCCAGACCAGCTGAGCCCTGGGTGGTCCTTTGCCCAGGAGAAGGGGCTCTGCAGGCAGGGCCACGCGCCCCCGTCCTCACGTGCCTCCAGGGAGGGGGCTCCTGCCTTCCAACGCCCGCCCCCCTCCTTCACGGCCAAGGCCAGTACCTGCTCCTGGGTAGTTTGGGGCAGGAGACCCCTGAGTGCCTGATGTGTCTGGCCCCCTCCCTCCTGGAACCGGCCTGGGAGACAGCCTGGGCAGGTGTGGGATGGAGCGGCAGAGCTGCAGGCCCTCTTTATGCAGCTGGGGCCGCTCTCCTGGGGGCAGGAAGAAGGGGCAGCCAGGGTTCCTGGGGAAGTGACCCCACTTCCTCACAACTGTGTGCAGCGCCCCTCTCAGAGCTACACACATGCAAACATTCACAGATGCACAGACACACACACACGCAGGTGTACGCATGCACTCACATGCACACACACACACTTATAAACACACGTGCACACAATCACCCTGCACGTGGACTCAGGTACACAAATGCATGCAGGCTTGCACATGCACACTCACAGATGCCCACAGACTGGCACATGCCCAGCCCTCCAGCGCTGTGGACACACGGGGGCCTGCCATCCTGCAGGAGGGGCTTGGACCCCCTCACGGCCCTGGGCTGGCTGCTCTTCCTCCAGCCTAACCTCAACTCTCTTCCAGGACCTGTCTAGCCCCTGACGTCGACACTCTCACATCACAGGCCACTGAGGCCCACGGTCCCCCGCAAAGAACCCAGAAAAGGGACGGCAGAGCGCCCCCCTCCCCCTCCCAAGACGGAGCCCAGTGGAGAAATGGAGGAGGAGGGTCCGGGCCCCTGGGGGCTGAGGGTGGTGTGCAGTCAGATTTAACACCTGGCTCAGGGGCGGGCGGGTGGGGGGTGCTTGGTTGTAGTGTTTGCCAATTCCCTCAGTGTAAATGCTCTCGCACACTCAAGACCAGATACACGCAGGGGACTCTGAAGATCGGCTTTAGCATGGCACTGGGCAGACCCTGCCCCGGGGCCCCCCACCTGTGCTCAGAGCTCAGAGACTGAATGCAGAAGGAGGAGAGGGTGGGTCTGCAGGCGGTCAGCTCCAAGGGTCCGAGCTGGTGACAGCAGTGGGGAGGGGCGAGCCTCTCCTCCTGCCCCAGCGCCTGGGGAAGCTCAGGCAGCCTGGGGGGGGGGGTGCTGGAGGGAGGGCAGAGGCTCTGGCTCTTCAGAACCTGGGCCCACACCCACGTGCTGTGTACACACGTGTGCAGGGCCTGCATCACACATGCAGGCAGGGCACCATCTTCCTGCAGTCAGGGGCTGGTGATGACTAGCTCTGGCCTGGAAGAGCCCTGGGGCTGGTCGCGGGGCCCCCAGTCCACATCTCTAGCAGTGCTGCTCCTAAGCTCCGATGTGGATGCCTGCAGGCACCCTCAGCTCCCCGGACCAATCCCCAAACCTCCCTCCAAAGCGGCTTCCGGCACAGCTGGGCCTATCCTGGACAGCTCTCTGGCCCGCACCTCCTGGGCTCCATCAGCAAACCCTGGACTGGACCTGCTCCGCCAGGCACTCTGGAGGCCCACTGACCCGCCTCCCGCGCTCCCGGGACTTGGTTGGCTTTGGAGTAAAACGCCAAGCATGCCTGGCCCCACCTGCACCCTATCTACTCCCACACAGGCTGAGCCCAGCCCTGCTGGAGGCTCTGCACGGTGCCTGCCGGGCCCTCCTCCAGCCTGCGCCGCAGGCTCCCCCGCATCCCGCCACCCACTATGCAAGCACTCGGACTGAGCCACCACAGGATGGGAGGTGGCCCAGGATGTCAGGGCGTGGGGGGTCACAGGCAGGCGAGGGGAGGGGCCGGAACGCCCCACGTGGTCGTGGGTCAGCTTGGGAGACGTGAGTCTGAACTGCATTCAGCTTGACATGGGCACGGACACAGAGAACAGTGTAGACATGTGCATATCCATGTGCACACACACGGGTGTGTATTCCCTCGTGTGTCAGTGAAAGGCCCCCTGGGGAAAAGGCCCCACACAGCGAGCACACCTCGGTCCCACTCTCCAGGAGCAGCAGCATTGCTGGCAGCAGGAACTCTCACAGGGCCAGTCAGGAGTGGTGGCACACAGGTGCGTGCACATCTGCACACTCACACACACTCACCGATGGGCATCTCAAAGGGACGCGGGAGCTCACGGAAGGAGCTCCCCAGCATCCAAAGCTGGGTCAATTTTGGCAATTGAGTGAATAACGTAGTATTACAGGTTGGCATACGTCATTAACCCAGGTATGAAACAAGTATGCGTCCACACTGACACAAATGACTGAGTAGATGACTAAACGGGGGAGGGAGCCGTGAATGACCCCTGCAGGCGCAGCGGCACACAGGGGATGTGATGCTCCTTGGGGCTGTGGCAGGAGGCAGGGGACCAGAACAATACTCGCCTGGGGGCTGAGGTCCACCCGGTGCCGTGAGCAGCCAGGCGGGGAGCGCATCTTGCTAGGATGAGCAGGGCCTTCCTCCAGCCCTCACCCAGCCAGCATGAGACAACAAGAGACTCCCTAATGGGGCTCCTATGAAATACCACCCATCAAGGTCAACAGACAAGCGGAGTCTAGGAGACGGCCACGGCCCGGAGTGGTCCAGGAGAGGCGCCCCTGGGACTCTGGAGGGGCCTGGGACAGAGGACACAGGGACAGATGGACACAGGGACAGCGGACATAGGGATGGACACAGGACACAGGAACAGACGGACACAGGGACAGATGGACACAGGGACAGATGGACACAGGGACAGATGGACACAGGGACAGATGGACACAGGGACAGAGGACACAGGCATGGACAGAGGGACAGATGGACACAGGGAGGAGGAGGGACCAGGGCAGTGTGTGCTCTGGTTGCTGAGGATGCTTCGATGCTGGTGTGTTGTGAGGAGCGAGCCACGGGGGACCTGGGCTTGGGGGTGTGGGGCATGTGGGGGCATGTGGACTCTGCCTGGACCCCACAGCCCCTCTGTAAACACGAGTGTTGTCAGTGAAGACCTTCTTTGGAAAAGCTTCTGCCAGTTACTTGGAGCCCCTCCCCTGCTCGTCTCCCACCCCCCCCGCGCACTTCTGTCTGAAGTCACAGCATGGAGCAGGGACTTTGGCTGGTGCCCTGTCCTGGCCTCAGGGCATGGGGGGACCTCAACACAAAGGTGGGTGGGAGAGGCTCTGTAGGGCCGCAGAAGGGGAGGTGTGCCGGCATCCGCAGGGACTTTGATTCAGAGGGACTCTCACCCACAGCCCCGCGTCAGAGTGAGTGGCCACTAGGGATCCAGGACGACGTTTGGGGGTCAGGGTGTGGGAGAGGAAGGCCTAGGAGCAGTCAGCAAAGGGTGTGGAGTTGGGGACAGGGCAGCCACAGCAGACACCTGGGCTCCAGCGGGCGCCAGGATGGCCAGTCCTGGGGTGAGCCAGGTCTGCCACACCCGGTCCTGGCACTGGCAGAGTGGCCTCTGCAGGAGGGACAGAGGGCTCTCTCCCTCCAAGTCCCTCTCACCCCTGGGTCGGAACAAAGGTCCTGGGGGGTCAAGGGCTGGGAGCCAGGGCCTGCCCAGCCATTTCCTTCCCATCCTGGCCCCGCTTCCTCCCACGTGCCCCCTTGGGCAGCGGGATTCCTCTGGCTGAGGGGGGCTGCCCACGGGCCGACCCCCCTCCCCTGTCACCATGCTCAGCTCACCCAGTGGCCAGGGGGGCCCTTCCCTGGAAACCCTCGGGCATGACAGCACAGCATCTCGGGCACCTCCTCCCCTCCCTGAGGACATGGGGCGGCCCCTCACCCACACCCAAGCCCCAGGAGTCACAGTGGGCTCAGCTCAGAGCCCCAGGCCTGCCCCACACCCACCCAGGGCTCCTCCCTCCTGCTGCAGCCCACCCACCGGCCGAGGGGCTTGGAGGGGAACAGTCCTCAAGTAGAGGGCGGGCCGCAGCGCTCGCCCACCCTCAGCCTCCCTGCTGCACGTCCAGCACAGAGGAAACACCGACCCGGCCTCAACTTGGTTGCTCTGCAGTGGCTCTATGGGGTTCTGTCCTCCACTGCCCTCCACGGCCCTCCACGGCCCCTGGACCCCGTCCTGCATGCTCCAGCCGTGTTCTGCCTGGACCCCCTTGCCCAGTGGGGGTGTGCACACCAGCCACCCAGGACCCTAACCCCAGGGCTAGGGACCCTGTGCCACATCCTCCTGCCCCTAGCAGCTCCAGAGCACAGAGTGCCTCCCACTCAGTGTGGACACCCACCAGTCTCACGCCTCCAGCCTCCAGCCCAGACCCCCAGGCTCCCCCCAGGCTCTCTCCCTGCAAGCAGCCCAAGGCGGGGTCCTCACACCTCCTGGGTGGGTCCCAGGGAGCCCCGGGCTCTCAGAGCAAAGCCCCATCCTCACAGGCCCCTCTGAACCTTCCTGACCTTCCTGACCTTCTCCCACCCACCGCAGAGCTGACCTGTCCACGTCTGACTCCCTCTCACACACAGGCGCGCACACGCTTTCCCTACCTCCCCCCACCCCCACCCCCCGACCCTGCAGGGCCTTCCTCCCGGAAGCCCCCTCTAAGCCCTCCCGGGTGAGCTGCTCCGTCACACAGGTGCTCAGCAGATGCCGAGGATGAAGGGACCTGAGCGACAGCTGAGCTCTGGGGAGGGTGGGAGGCTTCCCTCCCAGGGACCACAGAGCTGCCAGTGGCTGGATGGGCAGCAACTGCTGCCCTCTGTGGCCGCGGTGGCCTTGGGCTGTGTCCTCGGGGGACCCTGAGGGGGTAGGGAACCTATTGAAGACACAGGGACCCCTCTCTGCTCAGCCCCAGCCAGGAACCCTGCAGGTGAGGGGCCTTCCTGCCGTTGGGGTGGTGGGGTGGTGGGGGGTGGTCTGGGCCTGGGGCTGCTGCTGCAGAGGCTCAGAAGAGGGGCAGGGGAGGCCACACCAGGACCCCCCACGTGCTGCCCCACACCCCCACACTGCCAAGACCGCCCTTAGCAGGGCCACGTGGCCTGCGCCCCACCTTTCTCAGCACGTGGCACCATGTTGCTAGCCCTCCTGTCGCGGCCCCGGGTGCCCCATCCTGCCTGGGACACCCTCCCGCACCCCCTGCTCCCCCCACAGCCCAATGCACCACAGGCCCAGGCAGGCGCGGCCCTCCCCTGTGCAGGTCACTGGCTACCCCGCCCACCCACTCCACACCCCATCCTCCACTGGCTGCTGCCCACAACCCCCACGTGGGCCCCTCACTCACGTCTGTGACACATTGGGGGCACCTCTTGGAGAACAGGAGTCTGTTCTGCTTTGCTGACTCCTGGGGCCCAGACTCGAGGACCTCAGACCTAGCAGGTACCCCAGAGGATTTAAGAGAAGGAAGCCCAGGCCACAGTGAGGCCGGACGAGACCGGTCCAAGAGCAGCATGGACAGGAGGCAGGTGTGCCCACCCAAGCCACCTGCCCATGTGTGGGAGGTGGGGCTCCCCAGCCTCCCCCAGGCCTGAGCAGCCTGAGGCCCCAGGCTCTGGACACATTGCAGCTGCCTAGCTGGCGTGGGCTGGCCCGTCCTGCACCGCCTGAGGGGCCCCAGCTGCTGGGGGCGGTGCTGGGTGCGCTCCCCTTCCCCTGCTCACCACCGGGTCTGAACAAACCCCGCGGCTGGGGCCCAGACTTCTGCCTCTTCCTCCTCCCTCAGGTCTTGCCGCCCGAACACCCAGCAGTCAGGGCCTGCCCATGAAGGCACTGGGCCTGAGATGGACAGACCCTCAGAACAGACAGTGGCCTAGCCAGGCCCAGCACCTGTCATCTCCTGAGATGCACCGTTCTAGGAGAGGCGAGCCTGGACGGCTGGGACCCCGGGCCCAGAGGGGAGGGTCTCCATGCAACACTGTACCTTTTCCAGGCCAGGAAGTGTGAGTCTCTCTGAGCCCTTCCACCTGCCGGCTGGATACTGGTCCTCCCGAGGGTGTGCGCCCAGCTGAGCGCAGAGTCCGGCCGCGGGCCACCTCTCACCACCAAGCACAATGCGGAGGGAGGGCCTTCAAGGCTCCATTGTTCCCCTCAAGGCTTGGGGTCTGAATCCCTGATTGTCCCTGCGGCTGGACAGGGCCCAGAGAAGTAAGCTGCCTCCGCCAGCTGCACAGCAGGTCAGAGGCAGCGGGGCCCCACTTCACCTGCCCTCAGGCCTGGGGGGCTGTCCAGCATCCCTCTGCCACCATCCCACATCTAGGCTCAGCTCCCGCCAGCCTCCTCTGTGCATCTGGGCTGTTGGACGGGGCCCAGCCTCCCCGGCTGTTTCCGCCTGGGCCGCCCGCCTCCTGTCTGTATCCACCATCCTCCTGAGCCCTAGCACAGGAAGCCCCAGCTAGGGCTGGGCAGATGCCCCTGCCTCCCACCCCCCACCCCACCCACTGCTCTGGCCTGAGACGAGCGGCCTTGGAGGGGCACATGGGGAGGCAAAGGAACAGGCCAGGCTCTAGCACACAGGGCACCTCCCGTCCAGGCCCAGGATCATCTTGAGCCCAGAAATGCAGTGGCAGCCCATGGGCACCACAGCACGCCCCTGCAAGGCCTGTGAGGATGAGTGGCCCCACTGACCCTTGGAGGAGTCTCCTTAGGGACCCCACAGCCTCCTGGCCCAGGACCAGAGGCCCCCATGTCCTCCCTGGACTGGCCTCTCCTGGAGCATCTGGCCGGGCCAGGCCTACAAGTGCCCATTTTCTGCAGGCTCAGCCCCCTGCTGGGCCAGCAATGTCTGTCCCTCAGCCACCCTGGCCCAGCTCAAGGACCAGGAGGGGGATGGCTGAGGCAGGACACAGCCCCAGGCCTTTCTCCCCCAGCCGCTCCCTGCCCACCCCTGGACTCCAGGCAGGAAGCAGCCCAGCCGTGGGGAAGCCACCCAGTGACACGGGCAAGGCAGCCCCCATGGGTCTCCTTGACACGAAGCTCGGGCTGCGGAAGCCCCAGCGGAGGAGTGTGCAGCTCAGGAGCAGCTCCACTGCGGGTGTGGTGTGGAGGGGCCCCACACTACCTTGCCCAGGGCCGCGACGCATGGGCTCACAGACACTCTAACCAGCAGCTCTTTATTAGAACGGGGCCAGGTCCCACAGGAGGGCTGGGCAGGGGGCAGGGGCGGGGAAGCAGGGGTCCTCCACCATGGTGAGGGGCGAGTGCTGGGCAGCACCCACCCTGGCCCCAGCTGAGGCGAGCGCAGCACCCGCCTGGGTGGGCACCAGGCCCCAGGCCGCCTGGGCAGACGGCCGTGAGCCTTTTCAGGAGCGGCCGGTCCCCTGGGCCTTTTTGATTTCCTGCCGGAGAAAGAGGAGGGAGATCTCGCCCTTGCCCAGGGCTGCCACGGCCCGCTCCACCCGCTCCCCTGAGTGCGCCAGAGCCCCAGGGAGCCCACCTCGGAGAGCGCCTCCCTTAGGGTCCGGTAGGCCTCGTCCAGGCTGTCGTTGATGATGACCAAGTCAAACAGGCCCGGCTCCTTGCCTGGGGTGGGGCAGGGTCAGAGGAGGCTCTGGGGACAGAAGGGCCGGGGGACCCTCCTGGGGACCAGCCGTGCCCGCCCTACCCCCAGGGGAGGGCCCGGGGCCCCTGGCCACACTCACTGCTCTCCATGTCAGCCCGCGCGGCGGCCAGCCGCTTGGCCAGGCTCTCCTCCGTCTCGGTGTTCCGCTGCCGCAGCCGCTGCTCCTGAGACAGAAGGGGTCAGAGCCTGGCCCCTGGCCCACACACTCCATGGGTTCCCGCCCCCCGCCCCCACAGGCCCCACCTCACCAGGACTTCCAGTGAGGGCGGCTGCACGAAGATGTAGATGGGCCGCAGGTCAGTCTTCTTGATGTTGCGCACGCCCTGCAGGTCCACATCCAGGATGCAGATGCGGTTCATGGCCTGTACGGCCCGTACGGCCGCTTTGCTGGGGGACAGCAGGAGGGGCTGCTCAGCGGGGGCTCCTTGGACCCTCATAGCCTCCAAAAGCCTCAGCAGAATCATCACTGCCTGTCTCTGGGGTCCTGCCTCCCCTGTCCAGCTCTGGCCTGTCTGGGGACGCCTGCAGGGGACCACTCTGCCCCCAGCGTCTGTTCTGTTTCCAACAGGACTCCCTGAGCCCCCTTTGAACGTGGAGTCCCTGGTGGCTGGGGCGATGGTGAGGAGGAGCAGGAGGACCTGGCTGTCATTGTGCAGCCCAAGGCTCCTGGGCACCTGTCGTCGAAGGAGAGCAGAGGCCCTAGTGACTGCCTGAGGGGCCACCGCCCCTAGCAGCTGCACCTGGGGCTGAGCACGCAGGGTCCACAGGAGGCTGGGGGACAGGCTGCACACAGCTGTGCCGGGCTGTATGTGCTGAGGCGCCGCTCCGGCCTTGCCAGCCAGGGGGAGGAGCTGCTAGGTCCTGCTCTGGGGGTCCACTGGCTGGAGGGGAGGGGCTGCAGTGTGGCCTGCAGCCCTGTGAGGCCCAGGGCCTGAGTCCCCGCCACACACCAGGTGAGGCTGGGTCAGGAGGGGTGCCCTGAGCCGACTGCTGCCCAACGTGACCACTGGCAGGGCTGGGTCCCTCGCCTGACTGTCCAGACAGCCGGTAGAGAGAAGCCCCTCTCTGCCCCAGGCCACGGAGAGACCCTGGCCCAGGCCTGCCGACGCCAGGTCCCCAAGAGGTCTGGGAGGAGGACTGGGGTGCGGCCCACCTGGTCCCGTATAGGTTTCCTGAGAACTCAGCGTGCTCGATAAAATCACCAGCGGCAATGTCCCGCTGCATCACCTCCCTTGTCACAAAGTAGTAATCTGCAAAGGAGGAAGAGCTGCTCGAGGCTGCCCACAGCCAGGACACCAGGACTGGAGACCACCGGCTGCCACCGGGGAGGCTGCAGAGACTTCTGTGCTGTGCATCAGGCAGGATCAGAAGCCCTACTAAGACTAGAGAAGATGCTTGTGATGTCAGAGAGCTCCAAATGACACACAGCTATGACTCAACTGCATGGCCTTGTAGAGGGCAGCCGGCATGCTAAGGAAAATGCCCCGCAGCACCTCTGCTGTATCAGGGCTCCTGCCTGGCCTCCCGCATGGACTTGGCCAGGCATGTGCTCTGAAGCCTGCTGCCTAAGGAAGCCCATCCACCTTTGGGGAGGGACCATCCATCAATGGGAAGATGAGGCCCCAGAGGCCTGGTGCATCCCACTGCTGGCAGGGGGTGGCTCCAGACCCAGGCGGGCAAGGGCCACTGGGTGAGCTCACCTTTGCCGTTCTCCTCTCCCGGCCGCGGGTTCCTTGTCGTGTCTAGGAACAAGCATCCATGACTGAGCCGGGACACCCAGAGCCCACACGTCCCACCCCTGGGCCCGGCTCCTGTCACCCACGGGTGTGAGGGCCTCCAGGGCAGGTCAGCAGAGGCCTGGCCCCGGCCCCACCCCAGCACTCCCGAGACCCTTGCAGGCCCTTCTCCCTGCCCCGGGGCCTCACGGGACACGCTGAAGCCGAAGACACTGCCGTGCTCCTGCAGGAGCCTCTTCAACAGGGTGCTCTTTCCGGCCCCGGACGGCCCGCTCAGGACCACGGGCCTTGGTCCCGACATCCCTGTGGACAAGGGGGGGCAAGCCTCAGCGGGATGGCAGGACCCACTCCCTGTGGAAGTGGGTGGGCGGCTGCGGGCTTCCCCTCCGTCGCCACGGCTCACCCCGGGAACCGGGCAGAGCCAGGCAGTTGGCTGAGCTGGACTCAGGCTGAGCTGCACCTCCCCTTGGATACTCCCGCTAACAGCTCAGCCACCCGGTGCCTCCCCGGACCGTCCACTCCGAACCCGCCCTCAGCTCCTGGAGGGCCATGTCTGGGTCTCCACCCTGTGTTTCCTGGCACCACGCCCCAGAGGCAGCCTCAGTCAAGATCAGAGGAACCACAGCCCTGTTCTGGGAACTTCCATCAGAAGCAGGGGGCAGACCTCAAAGGACCACAGCTTGCTGACCGACCTCTCTGACACTCAGGTGCTGGGAAGCCAGCAGGAGGGCAGCAGAGGCCACGCCCCAGCCCACAGCACAGGGCTCAGACACCTGCCACAGGCTGTGACACCGAGGGTGGGAGGAGCAGGGGAGCTCGGGGGGTGTCAGCACAGCGCCAGCCTGCCCACCCCCAGTGCTCCCACACAGGACCCACCTTGGTGCTCAGCTCGGAGCTGCTCTGGATGAGCCAGGGTAGGTGGTAATCCCTGCCTGCTCTGGGCTCTGAGCACCAAGCCCCTCCCAGGGCACCCAACCCTGCCACTCAGCGCCCAGAGGGAAGGCTGCTTCTCGCCTTGAAACCCAGCCACGTGAGCATGATGGGCCAAAGGCCAGGTACAGACTCTGGGGCAGGGTGCTGTGAGCCTCAGGAGGCGGGAATTGAGGCAGACGCCACGCTGGGGGAGAGGCAGGGGGATGGGGCGCACCCTGTCCCAGAGGGAGACCCTGGTAGGGTGTACGGTGAGCTGGAGCAGCTCCCCAGGCTGGCCAGGTCCCGCAGGGCTGCCTGGGGTGCAGGAGGTCTCCAAGGTGCAGTCTGTGGCCAGCAGACCCGTGGAGGGGCCCAGGAGGGACGCCCCCGGGCAGGCATGCTTTCCTAATCCTCGATGTAGGCCAACCCGGATAATCTCGCTAAAGCACCGCTATTCTGGGGCCGTCACGCCACACACACGTCCCAGGAAGGAACAGATGCGATCCCCTGCTCGAGACGCAGGAGGAAGGGACCCAGAGGGACATGGCTCTCAGCGTCACCTCTGAGTGACCTACTCTGAGCTCCTCTGCCTCTTCCAAGCTTCCTGACACAAGAGCATGTTGTCTGTACCCAGCCACCAGCCCGATGGACAAACCCCGTTCTGGCGTCCCAGCTTTCCCACCTAGACACGTGTGCCATTGCACACATCCACACACCAACACCACACGCCCCATGTGCTTGCACACCACACGTACACACACTCATGCGCACACACAGCATGTGCACACACCACACACATTTGTGCACACTTGCCACTCACACCTGCACACGCCTGTACCCAGCTCTGCCAGCAGAGTGCAGCCCCTCCCCTTGAGGGCCTGAGGAGAGACCCTCTCCAGCCGTGGCCCTGCCCAGAGCCTCTCCTCCTGCAGGACTGAGGTCCACGGACCCCGCCCACTCCCCAGAATGACTGGGGAGCTGGAGAGCGGAGTGGGGTGGGGGCAGGGATGCGGGAGGGCAGAGGAGAGGACCGGGCCCCAGGTCCCTAAGAGGGCTGCTGCTCCTAGAGCGCCCCGCAAAGAGGCCAAGGGCACTGGTGTGCGCCCCACACTACCCGCTTCAGACGGCGCTGAGCCGCCACTGCAGCACATACCTCCACACCCCGCACCAGGCAGACCCTCAGGCCTTGGCAGTGTCGGTGCTGCAGGAACACCAGCTCCTCCAGGAGAAGGGAAGAGCAGCCCGGAGCAGACACGGGGAGGTGGACCAGTGGGCCTGCCAGAGCCTCACTCACAGAGCACAACCTCAACCCGGTGGGTGCGGCTGGGGTCCCCGGACCCAATTCGGGGTGTCCACCTCTAGGGAGTAGAGGATGCAAAGGGATCCTGACTGGGGACCGCATGGGGAGGCACTTTTGCAAGGACATCCCTGCTGGGGCCTGTGCAGAAGCCCTCAAGAACGCTGCACTCCTCCGTGCACCCGGGCACCCCCACAAGCACCCTGCAGCCGCACCAGCAGAGCCCAGTGCTCCTTCCCCAAGACTGCTCCCAGGCAACGCCGGTCGGACCCTACACGCTTCTCTGGCGGTCCCTGCCCAGTCCCCCACCCTGCGGTTTCGGCCAAAGCTCTTGGCCGCAGCTATCCAGAGGCTGCACACCTACACAAGGAAGACACACCCTCGCTCAGGACCACATGCCACACGGAAGTCCCAGCACCTGACAGCCTCTTGGGGCAGGCTGCGTGTGCTCACTCCTAACCGTGCACCTCGATGCTGGCTGGCTGCCATCCCTCCCCTGCACAGCGCAGTGAGGAGCAGTGTCCACATACGGCATCGGCTGAGAGCGCAGTGCTCACTCCCTCCTAGCTCTGGATTGCCATGGCCCCCAGTCTGCTTCCACGGGGTGCCCTCCTGTGCCGCCGCCTGCCCCTCAGGCCCAGCCCCAGGCCTCCCCAGTGCCAACCCTCCTCCAAGGGCTATACCATGGTTGACGTGCTGTGGTGGGGGACAATCGCCTGGTACCGCTGTCCCGCGGTGGTGGGGTTGAGTGGCCTTGGGCCCGGCTGAAGGCGTCTATGTTGAGTCCTGCCCCCATGGGGCCCACAAGCAGAGTTGCTCCCTGAGGTCGGCTTGCCCAGCACAAGGGACCACACCACACAGCCCACATGGGGCGGCCTGGCCCTGTGAAAGGTGCACCGGGAGTGCTGGGGACAGGGCTCCATCCAGTGACCATAGAGACAGCGCCCGCACTAGAACCATCTTCGACAAAGCACGCAGCACGGGACAGAGCTCCAGGCCTAGTGGCCGCAGTGATCCTCAAGTGCACTGGACACTGCTGGGCCTGACCTTGGTCCCAGTGCCTGGCAGAACTGACTGGAACGTGCAGGTCAGAAGGATCATCCAGCCAGGAGAGTCCTGTGTCTTCTACTCGTTGCTTATCCCACAACCCCAAGCCCCAGCTGCCTGACGAGAAATCAGAAAACTCACAAAGACTGCAGCAAGGATCTGGGACGCAAGTGACTTCCATAGGAGTCTGCTGGCGTGAGCGCGTGCTCCAGAATGCTCTGTGCTGGCACCCCTCATAAGGAGCTCCCTGAGCAGTTCTGGGCGGCTTTCCTCAAGTGCTTCCTGTTTGGGGGCAGAATCTCCTTCTTCTGCTTTCTACCAGCTGTCCTACCCTGTCCTACCTGAGAGCCAGGTGCTGCCACCACCCCCACCTCCATCCCCACTCCTCCACTGGACAGCAAGACAAGGCACAGCCACACACAACACAGAGGAAAAAGAGTCAAGTCCTGCCAGCCTCTTGTAAAGCACAAGCCACGGATCTGGGCCAGGATGGCCAGTTGTGCCCTACGCCCCACACAGGCCGGGTGGGTCAGGAGAAACACCCTGGCCCTGGCCACAGGGCGCCTTGTGTGGGACATGTCCCAGCCAAGTGACCCTGAGAAACCACTTAGCCTTCGGGAGTGGCTTGAGGTGGGACAGCCACAAAGCAGCCAGCAATTTGCTCCTCACTTCCTCCCCACAGCGGGGCAAGGACTGCACTGTAGCAGAGAGAAAGCAGGGCCCTCTAAAGCACAGGAAGAAGCCACCCGAGGAGGACCTGAGCCTGTCAGGGCACTGCACGGCTGTGTCTGCATCTCTTCTCACCAAGGAGAAGAACCAGGATATGATCCTGCAGGAAGTCCTCAGCTCTGACTTCACGAGAAAGAGCAGAGAGCATGAGGAGGAGGAGGAGACCAGGGCATGAGAACCACAGGGCGGGAAGGAGTCCAGGCCCCTAGCTCTCACAGAAAAAGAAAACAGAGGCCCAGCACATGCAGAGACCAGAAGAGACTCAGAGAAGAAACTGAGGCACGGGCAGGGACTCCGGGGAAACCAAGCCCGGCAAGGGCAGGGTCAGGGAGGGACCCAGAGCCCGACTACAGGGGCACTGCAGTCCCTGCACTGCTCTCCCTTTCCTCCTCGTGGGCTGGGGTCACCTCCCTCCACTGCCAACCACATCACAACACCCCCTTCTTTTCTGAGCTTCCTCAGATCTTCCGGACATGTTTCCGAGCTACCCCTGAACGTACCACAGATGATGCAGGATAACAGTTTAGGGCGTCACAAAAAAAACAGAGTTTAGGTGAGAACTTTGGTTCCTGAAAAGGAAGCGCGTCTTCTGTCAGAACACCCAGAATCTGCTGCTCAGGGAAACTGCTGATCCCACCTGTCCCAGCCAGAGATCAAGGGCTGGGTGGACACAAACTTGGAACCTAAAGCAAAGGCCAGGCAGACGGTACCTCTCATGTGTGGTGCTGAGCTGGGTCGTGTGTGGGCTGCTCTGTGTGCAAGGACAGAGTGAGGGCTCAGCTAGCAGGAAGTTCCACTTGTCAGTGGTCAGACAGGAAACCACACCGGTCCTGGGTCCCTCCCCAGGTGCAGGAGAAAGTTCAGGGTCCCTCACAACAAGCCAAGACCTGGGAGGCCCGAGTGGGTGTCACAAAAGTCCATACTCACGTGGGCATGCCGCCCAGGTGACTCGCCGAGGCTCACCACAAGGTTGTCTTGCCTCCCTCCTCCCGACCTGTGGGCCCCACATCATGTTGGTCTACTACCGCCTCAGCTTCCACTCTCCTCTTCCCTGCATAAAACCACACTGAAAATAGGTGAGGTGGCACATCCACCTGCTCCTACCAGAATCAGCACCTGGAAAGAGGCTGCTCCCTCTCACTGCTCCCAGAAAGACGTTTAAGAACAGAGAGGCAGCTCCAGCAACCCTAGACTACCATCTCTGGGCCTCAGGCAAGCTGACCATCACTGACCACACCCACGAGTCAGGCAAGCCTGCCACCAACGACGCTCTTAGGCTGCGCACTCGCGTCTGCACTGCTCGGCGGCACTGGGCCACAAGGCTTGCCAGGAACCCGCACCAGTCCCCGGGGCGCTCAGAGCAGCCAGCTCCACCTACCCAGGACCCTCTGGGTTTACAATCTGCAGCGGACCAAAGCTGACGCGAGAGCTGGACCACCGACAGGTTTTCCCAATTGCTGTCTCTGCTGCACGCTTTGAGCTCGGGGAAGACACCACACGTTTCCACACGCCCCACGAATTGGCCGGCCCCGCGGGACCGCCACATCACGCTCGTCAGGCAGCCACCTAAAGGCCTTTGGAACCCCGATACCCCAGGGGTTTTGGCTCTGCGCCATGCCCACCTTGGGGGGGCACAGGCGGCTCCACTCTCCGCCCCTCCGCATCCTGCACGGTCCAAGGGCATCCAGCATGAAGTCCTCGGGCTGCGGGGTTCTCAGGCTGTCTGGAGCTCCGCGTGCCCCGAGAACGTCCTACGCTTCGAGGACTGACACCGGGACGCGGCTCCTAATCTCGGTAAGAAACGCGCCCACGAAGGCGCCCGGCGGCGCACGAAGCGGCGTCCGCAGGGTCACGCCCCTCTGCGAGCACGCGCGCGGGCCGCCTCGTGCCCGCTCTGCTCCCGGGAGGAGCCCCGGGAACCCAGGGGCGCGCGGCCGTGTCGCGGCTAGCAGGAGCGCAGGCCTCGCGCATGGCCCCACGCACCCCCCAACCCCCGAGCGGGGGCGCCCACCCGGCGATCCAGCCCGCGAGCTCGGGCCTCCGCCACGCCGGAGGGCCACCACTCACCGTCCGAGGCAGCCCGGCCCAGGGCGGCCGCCGCCAGCCCGGCCAGCGGGCGCCGCAGCATGAGGGGGCGCCACCGCCCGCGGGGACTACGTCATGGCGCCGCGCCCGCCCGCCTCCGCTCGCCGGTTGGCGTCACAGCGCCGCGCCGGATCGCTTCCGCCCTCGGGGCTTACGTCACTGTCGCGCCGGCTCGCTTGCGCCCGCGAGGACGTACATCAGCGCCGCGCCGGCCCCGCACTGCCTCTTTAGTCCTACGTCACGCCGCGCCGACCTCGCCCCGCCCCTCGGGGCTGTACGTCAACATAGCGCGACGCAGCGACGCCGCAGGAGGAGCGGGAGCTGAGACGGCGGTGACCCTGTGCGCGCCTGTGGCCAGTCCCACTCCCGCTCGGCCCGTGGCGGCCGGGCTGGTCCTCTCGGCCGCTCCGGGGCTCAGTGAGCGTGGCAGGTCTGTGCAGGGAAGGCCGTCGCGCGGGCGGGGAGGGCTCCCCCAAGAGAGGGTCGGGCCCCGCCGCCGGCTCCGAGGGCGAGAGGATGGGCGGGCATCCTCTGGGGAGGGTCACAACGTTTCGTCCTCCGGTCGAGTCGCCTCCCGCGGCGGAGGGAGGCCTGCAGCCGCCCTGCCCAGACAGAGAGCGGGCGCCCGGGCAAACTTGCCCGGGTCTGCCGCGAGGGCTGGTTTCGCGCAGTCTCAGTGTCCGAGACCTCAGAACCTCCTGGCTGTCCCCGCGGAGAACTCGGCACCGACGCTTCCCTGAGAGTCAGGGCCTAGTAGGAGCAGGCTTGGCCTCGGCTCCCCTTTCGTAATTCTACCTCCCTGGGTTTTGGGAGCACTAAATGACTTTGGGAAATAGAGCCAGTCTCCCCGTTGGCGGTGCAGGTCACCCTCAGAGCGGCTTCCCTGACTTGGTGACCAGCCCGAGTGGGCCGGGCCCTGGCACAGGTCTCCTGAGTCAGAGTCTGGGGTTAGGGCCTGTGCGTCCCACAGGTGATTCTAACGCCACGCTGGGCCGACAGCCTAATATGTTGCTGGGAAGGGCTGGTGATGACCCCGTGGTACCACATCTGCTGGGGACGTGCTCAGGTGTGTGGCTTCGCTCACAGCTGGGGTTTGATGAGAAACAATTAAATGGAAAGGCTACTTTTTAAAAATGTGTTGTTTCCTTTCCCAGCAGGTCGCACACTGGGCCAGTGACTGAGCCTGGGCCTCCGCCTGTGGCAGGGGCTCTCGGGAGGAATGGCGGCCGCCGGCAGCCTGCTTCGGTAAGAACAGACTTCCAGGCCCCCGGGATCGCTGTCATGGGGCCACTCATGGGAGTGCTGACTCAGGAGCCTTAGGGCTGTGCTCCCTCAGGGAAGCCACCTGAGCCCGTGTTTCCATCTGGACAACACAGATGAGTGTCTACATGTAGACACTCTGACAGGCTATAGAGGAAAGAACAAAAGCGAGTGAGTACCTAACACCAGACAGACAGTAGTGGAGGTGGTCACCTTCCTCTTCAGGGTCTGCAGCCCAACAGGCTCTGGGTCCCTGGAGGAAGCCACAGCCTTCCTGCTGTTCCCACCAGAACTGCCTCTCCACCCGCCTGTTCCCCTCGCCTCTTGGCTTACCCAGAACGAGAAGGACAGCGCTGCCAGAAAAGAGAAGGAGTGCAGAGCTGGTGTTGGTTTGTGGAACGTGAGGAGAGGGTTGTGGCTCCTAGAGCCATAGGTTAGTGTAAAATGGGGCAGGCCTCATCCTGGGAAGGGTGCACGTGGAATCACTGTTATGGTGGGAGAACATCCGCTGTCTCCCCAGAGGTCGGCTTTAGTCCCTCCTGGAAGCCCCCGAGACTGAGCCCACGTTCTGGGGAGTGGCTGTGCCTGGGCTCTCTGGCACTGCTCAGGCAAGGGCCCTGCCCGGCTGACTGCAGGCTCATCTGGCGCTGGAGCCCCCCCTTTCTTCTCTTCTCCCACTTCTGAGGAAGGGGACTGGATTCATTTTGCCAAGATTTATTGAGTGCTCAGCTAGGCATCTGGGACTTCACAGCAAACAGGATGCGGTTCTTTGCCCCAAGGCCATTGAGGTCTAGTGGAGGAGATGAGCCCTCAGCCCAAGGTGTTGTCTGGGAAATACTAGAGATGGGCAGTGCAGGAGCTCCACCAAAGGTTGGGGCTCTGTGCTCGGGCAGGCTGCCTTGCGGAGGGAGAGGTCCTGAAAGCCAGGTGAGAGCTGCTGAAATGTGTGAGCAGTGGGCTTTAGAATCACTGCAGAGTACGAGGACTCGATTAGAGTGGCAACGGGGACCAGGCAGGAGGCCATTGGGATGGTCTGTGCTGGACCTGACTGCCCACATGATGTAGAGGGGAGACACGTGGCAAGTATTCAGGACACCTGTCTGCCATGGGTGTCCAAAAGAATGCTGGGGGAGTGAGGCGACTTCTGGAGTGCCCAACAATTCTAGGGAGTTTTGGCAATCGTTCAGACATGTTTTTCCCCAAACCCATACTGTGGGTATGAATAGCCTGGGGGTGTGAATCCACGTTTGCATGAAAGCAGGCTGGAAGGGACTTTGGGGTCACGGCAAGGCCAGGATGAGGCCCCAGGTAGGCAAGAGACAGGTGCGGGGACACGTGTCTGGACAGAGCAGTGTGAACAGGCCCGCCTCGCCTTGTCATCTCCTGTTCCCTCAGAGCACGTGCTGTGCCATGTGTGGGAGGGCCAGTGTCTGCCACATTCAGAAGCCAAGAGCACTCTGGGTGTCTTGGTCTGTTCAGGCTGCCCCAACAGAAGCTGCAAGCCAAGTGGCTTATCTCCCACAGTTCCAGAGGCTGGAGGTCTGAGATCGGGGCACCACCAGGGTCAGGTTCTGGTGAGGTCTTTTCCTGCTTTGCAGACAGCTGCCTTCTTGTATCTTCATACAGCAAAGAAAACAATTTCTGGTTTTTTCTCTTATGAGGGCAACAGTCCCACCCTGGGGGCCCACTCTTGTGACGTCATCTAACCTTAATCACCTCCCAAAGGCCCCCTCCTGGGGGACGCCATCTCATTGGGGGTCAGGGCTTCAACACTCAAAAATCTGGGGGACACAAATGTTCAGCCCATGATGCCGGGTCTGCATTCTCCCAGAAGTCAGTTTTCTTCTCCATGCTTGTATGCAGCTCCTGAGCTGCATGGTCCAGCCTGACTGGAGACAGCTGTCCACCTCTGTTCTCTGCCGTCTGGGAGCTTCATGTGCTCACCACGTGGCCTCTTCCTGGATGTGGTGGAGGAGCTGCTCTGACCACATCCTGCCCCAGCCTGGGTCCCCAGTTGTCCCCATAGGAGCTGGTTGGCCTGGGCCACATGGGCGCTGTGGTCCGAGCACTAGCCACTGACCAGTGTATGTGTGTCTGCAGCCTCCTGTGGCAGTGTGCGGTGACAGGGGCCACCCCCACGGGCCGCCACCTGCACACGTCCTCCTGGAGGGCTGACAGCAGCAGAGCCTCGCTTACACGCGTACGCCGGCAGACCTACGCACGCCTCTACCCTGTGCTCCTGGTCAAGCAGGACGGCTCCACCATCCACATCCGCTACCGGGAGCCTCGACGGATGCTGGGGGTAAGCGTCCCTCCCTTGCATTCCTTGGGGTGCAGGTCCTAGTGGGCTTGAAACCTCACAGCTGGACGGGGCGGTGGGGGGGCATGGGTCATGGAGCAGGATTGTTGCGTGAACAAGGATTATTTGAAGAGGGAGGAGGCGGTCTTGGAGCTTACTCCACACACTGAGATAGCACAGCAGCAGGGAGCTGTGCATTTAAAAAAAACCAAGTCCTGGAAGCACAAGCAGAAAAAGTTTCTTTAAAGAGTCAAAGCTTCGAAGGGAGAGAAAACCCCACAGGCCTCCTGACCCTGACTCCTGCGTTGGAGGAGAACAGGAGACACAGGAGCATATCCTGGTGCCCGCCTGCCCTCCCTGCAGATGCCTGTGGACCTGGACGCGCTGTCCCCGGAGGAGAGGCGGGCACGATTCCGGAAACGCGAGGCCCAGCTCAGAGAGAAGGAGCAGCAGCCAGAGCTTGCTGATGACTTTGACGTGGAGCGGTACAAGCGGTTTTGGACCAAAAAGTGACCACTCCTGCAAGCTGCCCTGGCCTGGGGACACTGGAGGGGGCATGTCTTTAAATCATGTGTCCAGGAAGCTGCCTCTGCCTGTCTTTCTTTCTTGTGTGCCCTGGCCCCAGCCCCAAGGGGGCTCTCTGTGACTCAGCCAACTAGAGGGCCTAGTATTGGGTCAGTTCGTGGTTTTAGGATGAAGCCCAAAGGGCACGTGAGCCATCGACATAAGAGAAATGAGACTGAGGTGATGGGTGCTCTTCCCTTTGCAGGAAGCACCCACGACCCTGAGTCAGCTCCCTCTTGCCCCCAGTGCTGCCTTCAGCCTCAGGGCACTTGGGGCTCTCTTGGCCAGGTACAGCGGCTGTGGGAAGTGGGTGGGAGAAGTAGGGTATCTGGGATCCAAGGATGCCCTGCCCAGCCTGCAGCTGGCCTGCCCTGTCCCTCCCTGGGCTCCCTCAGCCCTACCTGGGACACAGCCAGAAACTGCTCCCCGTCAGAGGGGCCAAGGGAAGCCGCCAGCCCCTGTGGTTAACTCTGCTCAGTTTGCAGCCCACTGCAAGCTGCAATGAGCCAGCCTTCCACGGTCCCCTCAAGACTTTTTGTTCCAAGGGTCGGTTTCACCCTGGCTGGGCTTCCTGCAAGACCTGAGGGGGTAACTCCCAACCTTTCTAAGTGCAGCTGCCCCAGCCAGGCCTGGGGTGTTGATCGTGGGACCTGGTTGTCAGGCTTGTTCTTGTAAGTTTGAGAGCCCATTGCAGGTCACCGCCATGTAGACAGTCGGGACAGCGTTCCAGACACAACCAGGGAGGCAGGAGCCAGCAGCCTGTGGGAGGTGACTGCATCTCATCTCTGTTGGCGGCGAAGGATGCTGGGCTGAGCACCCACCTCTGGACTCCTCCTGCAGCCCAAGTCCTGCTGGTCCACTGAGCACAGCAGCCACGTGCAGCTGCATGGGGACATCCACTGCCCCTGCGTCTGTGCCCTCCAGGCTTTGCCGGCCCTCCCATCACTGCTCTCACCTGCTCAGGGACATCCCTCCTGCAGTTCTTGCCTCATTCCCACTTGGAAGACCTCCCTGGAGCCCTCATCCCTTCAGCTGCCACCCCCCATTCACCTCTGGGGGAGACGCCCAGCAGTGGTTCAGGACCACTTGCTGTTCAGGACCAGATTGTTCATGATGCTTGTTAAAGACGGCAAGGCAGACTGCTCAAGGTGGGGGCACAGCCATGAGTGCAGGGGCCACTGTGGGGATCTAGCAGTGGGCGAGACTGAGTACCGCATGGACAGTGGGGATTTGTAGCCCAGAGCTAGGGTGGGGTTGGTGATAGGTACTAAGAGGGCTCATTTGGATGGGAGAGTAGTTGTAGCTAAACCCACCTAATGCAACTGTTGCTGAAAGGCTGGTGATCATCTGTCCAAGGGAGATGAGGCGCCCGATGAGATACTGAGGGTGGGGCTTCTGGGTGAACTGACAGCCAGGTTCCTGCCAGAACCAGGTGATGTAGAGACAGACACAGGCCCAAGGCCTGGTTGGAGGGCTCGGGGAGCCTGAGCAGAGCAGTCAAACAGAATCCTGTCTGTGCCAGCTCCCTCTAGTCCGTGGGGACCTCCTGATGCTGCCCCGAGCCCCTGACTCCTGATGGCCTCCTAGGTCTGCCCTTGACCCTGGTCACTTAACCTGCCTTGGGGACTTCAAATGTTGCCTAGGCTGAGGACCCACAGTGTCCAGATCCCAGCCACTGATAGCACCCTGCTCCTCCCCCGTCCTTTGCTCATTCCCCTCATCCAGTATCTAGTCCTTGTCAAACATCACAGCGCTGCCTCTAGGACCTGGCTCACCCACCCAGCTGCCATCACCTGGGGCCCCACACCCTCCTTCCAACACTAGGCTCCTTCTGCCCTGCGAAGTGACTCGGTTGTGAGTCTTCCTGAGCTGCGGCCCCGCAGAAGGCACGCCTGTGGCTTTTGACCTGCTGTGCCATGCAGGGCAAGGGCAGGGGCAGGTCTGGAGTCCCCAGTCTGGACGCCCACCAGGCGAGGCTGTGCTCTCCGGGCCACACGTGGGGAAGCCTTACCTCCACCCCCAGAGGGCTCAGTGGTAGGGCACGACAAACACGGCTGGGAGCCCCAAAGCACGCAAAAGGCAGCAGGGGGAGTCCGAGAAGGGGGGTCGGAGAGGGGTGGACCGCCTGTTCTCATTTCCCTCCCCACTCCCCGGGCAATGCCGAGGCTGTGAGTGTGCGCCTGCACGTAGCGTAGGGATTACAGCAGCTGTGCGACACCCTGTCCTGGTACCTCCGAGACCCTGCCCGGTGCCCGCGGGCCGCAGCCCCGCCGAGCTTTCCGGGCCGTCATCGCCGGGACGCGCCGCGCCCTCGACGACGGCAGCGGGAACCCGGGCGACACCGCCCTTCTCCACACCGCCCGGGGACCAGGGACCCCGGCGTGTCCCCGGCGCTGAGCCCTGGCCGCCGTCCGCGCTCCCCAGCGCCCGCCCGGCCCCCGGCGTCACCGCGCACGTGACCGTCCATGACAGCCGCCTCGCGGGCAGGCGCTGAGCCGCAGCCTCCGTGCCCTCCGGGACGCAGGGGCGGTGCGCAGGCGCGCGGGGCCGGCGCGGGCGTGACGTCACGGCGCGCGACGCGGGAGCGGAGAGGGCGCCGCCGGCCGGGGGCGGGAGGCCTGGGGACGGCGGGCGGCCGGGCACCATGTTCGGTTCCAGCCGGGGCGGTGTGCGCGGCGGGCAGGACCAGTTCAGCTGGGAAGATGTGAAGACCGACAAGCAAAGGGAGAACTACCTGGGTGAGCGCGGCGCGGGGGCCGGGGACGCGGGGGGGGCCGTGGGCGCGGAGGGCTGGGGACGCGGGGGCCGGGGACGCAGGGGGCGGTGGGTGCGGATGTCCGTGGACGCGTGGGGCCTGGGACGCGTGGGGTGGGCGACACGCGGGGCCGTGGGCGCGGGCCCAGTCCTCGGCGCTCCGTCCCGCAGGAAACTCGCTGATGGCCCCAGTGGGCCGCTGGCAGAAGGGCCGCGACCTCACCTGGTACGCCAAGGGCCGGGCGGACGGCGCGGGACTGAGCCGGGAGCAGGAGCTGGCGGCCGTGAGGCAGGCGGAGCAGGAGGCGCTCATGGCGGCTCTGTGAGTGCGCGGGGGTGAGAGGGACCTCGGGGCGGGGGCGCGGGGAGGGTGCTTGCGGGGCGGGGCGGGGGCCGAGGTGAGGCCCGCTGCCCCCTGAAGCTCGCGCGCGGCCCCCGCAGAGGCTACAAGAACGTGAGGAAGCAGCCCACGGGCCTGAGCAAGGAGGTGAGGGCTGGGTCCTCTGGGAGGGGGCGCGGGCAGGGGTAGGGGCTGACCCCGCGCTGCTGCGAGCCCTGCCCGCCGCCCTCCCTCGCTCCCTGCAGGACTTTGTCGAGGTCTGTAAGAGAGAAGGAGGCGACCCTGAGGAGAAGGGAGTAGACCGGCTCCTGGGCCTGGGGAGCTCCAGGTGCGGGGCCGGGCGTCCTCTCGGGACTCAGGATGCGCAGCGGAAGCCTGGGGGGGGCCTCACCGTGGGGGCTGGCATTCTCACCGTGGGGCGGGTCTCATTCGTGTCCCTCTAGTGGCTCTGCAGGCCGAGTGGCGCTGTCCCGAGAAGACAAGGAGGCTGCTAAGCTGGGGCTCTCCGTGTTCACGGTATTCACCCCCAAACATCCGCGATCCTGTGGGGGGGGATTTGGGTACCTCTTCTTGTTGAGGGTAGGGACGGGTCATCTTCTCCGGGGGCTCCCAGCTTCCTAGCCCTGGAAACCGGGGCTGGTTCTCCGTGGTCGGCATCTCGGTGCCCCGCACGCCTCTAGAGTGGCTTTCCTTGGCAGCACCACCGTGTCGAGAGCAGTCGACCAGGGGCCTCCCCGGCCTCCACTTCTGCCAGGAAGAAGCAGCGATCGGAGGAGAAGCCAGAGCCGGGGTAAGGGGCCTCCCAGGAGAACAGAACCGGGGTTCTGTCTGCACTTTACTGTTCCTTGCGTTAGTGAGGTTCCCAGCTCTGGCTCTTTTCCTTCTGGAGAGCCCCTCGGGGTCTTGAGCCGGGAGTGGTTCCATGACTGCTCCCCAGCGCATAGCAGGGGTAGGTGGCCCCACTGTGTGAGAGCTGCAGGGGTCAGGGGCCAGCAAGGCAGAGGACCCTGGTGGAGGTCGCCAGAGAGGGGACACTGGAGCCAGGTCTCAGGGGGCCCCCACCCTTTATTATTGTCCCGGTGGCCCCAGGAGTGGCCTGTGGTGTGTGTGGGGAGGCTTAGTGCCTGTCACGGGGGGTGCAGGCAAGCTGGGTGGGAGGGAAGACTGGAAGGGCCGTGAGACCATTGGGTTGGTGCTTCTGGGCAGAAATCTGCCACCATGGGGACACCTGTATCTGCACTGCCCACCACGGCAGCCCTTCGCTCAGGTTGTACTGAGGAGCTTTGCTTGGTGATGTGAAAGTGATAGCTACATGTAGTCAAGGGCTGTCATGGAAACCAGCACATAACCTATGGGCCCTGCCCCCTGGTGAGTCCCAAAGCTGGAGCGGCTCCTCCTTGCACTGTATACCCCTGCAGCCCCGAGAGCCACAGGAAGAGGAGGAAAGAGAAGAAGAAAAAGAAAAAGAAGGAGAAGAAGAAACACAAGAAAGAGAAGAGGAAGAAAGAACAGCACAGGGCTGGGGCAGCCTCCTCGAAGCCCCCGACTCCTGCCCGGTAGGCACAGCTCTGGCTCAGCGGGCGGGCAGGATGGGCAGGCAGCCCTCACACTGGCGGCATCCCCTGGTCTCCCCAGGCCCGGACACCGCAGGCACGACTCGGACTCCTCCTCGCCCTGCTGCAAGAGGCGGCGACGGCAAGACAGTGACTGAGGCCCTGCCCGGACCACCCCCACCACACAGCCCTGGAGGGGCCACCCTCAGTGAAGCCTCCGGCCCAGGGAGCTGGACAGCCAGCACATGGGGGCCCTGAAGGAGGAGAGGTGGCTGAGCCCTGAGCTGGCCCCAGACCCACCCGGGGAGGCCCTGCCTGCCTGGGAGGTTCAGCCACCCCAGGTCCCCTGAGCAGCTTAGCTGTGGCTAAGTAGGGCTACTTAAGTTTTTCTTCACATTGACTCACTCTTTGTATGTAAATAAACTTATTTTAAGGGGAAAATGTCTTGTATTTCAGGGAAGGTCATTGTTACCTGTCACAGTAGAAGGCGAAGGGTGAAAATGGGGAGATTGCTTTGGGTTCCAGTGAGACCATCTGACGTTCTGTTGGAGGGGGTAGTTGTCCTGGTGGTTGGCATCCTGAGGTCCCATGTGGGCCTGGCCCTGAAAGTGACTTCAGGTCTACCAGGAGCCCTGGGTCATCATGTGTGGCCAGCAGGGTGGGCAGAGGGGCCAGAACGTGCTGAGCTGCAGGTGGGTCTCTCCGAGGTGGGTAAGCGTGGAGAGGGTGGATGGCCAGACAGGGTGTTTAGGTCATGGTGGGGACTCAGGTGGACTTGTGCCTGGAGCCACCCTCATCCCCCCAGGCCACCAAGGGACTTCTTGCCCACTGTCCCACACCTCCCCCATCTGCCTCCTCAGTCTGGTCTGCTGGCTGCTTCCAGGCTGCAGGGCCAGCCCCTTCCACCTGGCCTCCTGTCTCCTCTGCTGGGAGGCATCTGTGGCCCTTCACAGCCCTGTCCACAGAAGAAATGAAAACCGAATCTTACAGATGACTTGGAGTAAACACAAAACCGAGGCTGGATTCGTCCTTCCTAAGTATATTCCTTGTTTTGGTTCTGATTTTAAAAGAAGTGGCAAATGAAGACGTTTCTGTCTAGTATCCTGGCACTGGTTTTCAACCTGTCAACAGAAGCGAGTTACCTCAGGCCAGTTGGCCTGGGCCAGGGCAGGGGATGTGCACAGGGTGGGCTGCTTCCCAGGGGAAAGAGAGACCTGGACCTTGGCTCTGCCTGTGATGGCCACATGAGTGGGAGCAGGGGCACCGAGAAGGGCTCCCGGTCAGAGGGACGGCTCTCAAGGAGTGGGAGGCGGCCCATGGTAGAGGGGAGCTGTGATCCTGCAATTTATAACAAGTACGATGTATTCGGTCAGATGGCCGAGACGTTTCTCATAAAGGTGAAGTCTTTGTCCCAAGTTCCTGGCTCACAGCTCCCCAAACCCTTGGAATTTCTTGTTTTTGTTAAAGGAGGTGACTTTTGGACCCCACTCAAGGATCGGGGCTGGTTGCCAGGAGAACCAGCCATGTGATCAAAGGATTGGAACTTTCAGTCCCACCCCGAGTTCTGGGGGCTTGAGGTTCAATCGGTTGCCAAAGGCCAATAACTTAGTTATGATTCTAACAAAGCCTCCAGAAAACCCCGAAAGATGGCTCATCGGTCCTCTTGTCAGTGAACACGTGGAGGTGTTGGCAGAACAGTGTGCTCAGAGAGGGCGTGGAAGCTCGGCACCCTTTCCCAGACCTGCCCTGTGCATCTCTTCCATCTGGTGGTTCATCTGTATCCTTTATCATATCCTTTAATAAACTGTAAATGTGCTTCTCAGTTCTGTGAACCACTCTAGCAAGTTAATCAAATCTGAAGAGGGGTTGTGGGAACCTCGGATTTAAAGGCAGTCACTCAGAAGTACAGGTGACAACCTGGCCTTGCCACTGGCATCCTGCACTGGAGGGTCGTCTTGTGAACCTGAGCCCTGTACTTGTTGGATCTGAATCTATCTAGAGGGTAGGCAGTGTCAGAACTGAGTCGGTGTCCAAAAGCTGCTTGTTCGTGTGGGGAAGCCCCCACATGGAATTGAGTCCTCGAACCCTTGGCAGTGCCAAGCACCCAGCAGGGCACAGGGTACCCCTGTGGTGAAGGTTCCCAGGGCAGTGACTTGGAGCTCAGCCAGGGGGCCCTGCCCCTCCGTGGGCACAGGTGGCTGGCCTGGAGGTGCCATGGAGGGAGGGTGGTGGATGTGTGGATATTGAGGAAGGGCGGGGGGGCCTCAACACACGAGCCCTGGGCCTGGCCTCTCAGGCACACCTCATGTGATGACCCTGCTGTCCCTCAGTGTGGCACCAGCAAGACGGACCAGGACCAGCGCCTGGACTGCCAGTGGGGAAACCAACAAGGAGGGCCCCACAAGGGCTCTGGAACACACCTGTCCTCAGCCAAGGCGAGCCTGGGAGGGGGAGCGCACAGGAAGGGTCCTCCCTCACTTGGTGGGGCGGGGGGCAGATCCTGGGGGGAATGGGCAGAGAGAGTTCCCCCTGGGGCGCATCAGCGGTTGGCTACACTCCCCAAGTCATGAGCAGGTGGCCACCCCGTTTCAACCTCCCCCCCCCCCCCCGCCAATCATACCCCTGTGACAGGAGGCGGGCTGCAGGTCAGTGGCACGCCGTGAAATAGTTAAGAGATTTTATTCTAATAGCTATAATTACAGTGCTTGTCGAAATGAAAACTGAAAACAAGTATACAAAACAGTTGATTACTAATCGTGTATTGAAAGCAGTAAGAGGTTCCACGACACCAAATCAACCAGTTCTGAGGTTTCCCCAAGATAAAGTTTAACAGCTCCAGCTTCTTCAGTGTTTATCAAAATACAAAAGAAAAAAGTAGAGGTCGTCGTTTTGATGGCAAATCTGACCCCTGCAGGCTGAGGGAGTGAAAGCACATGTGGACGGGGGCTCCGAGGGGCTGGGGCTCTAGGATGACCGGCCTGCACGTGCTCCCGCTGGTGAGACCCCAGATGCCCTGGAGCACACACGGGGACCATAGGGCTCTTGCTCCGGCCAGAGTGTTACCACCAGAGCGCCCACACCGACCCAAGGGAAGGCCGGGTCCCTCCAAAGGGTTGGTGAGCAGCAGCCGCAGTGCTCAGCCCATCCGTCCCCTGGGCAGCCGTGTCAGCACAAGCACAAACGCTACGGGATGCGGGATGACCCGAGACAGTGAGTCGCAGGGGCCCTATGTGACATGCAGAGTGCATCGTGGCTGGTTCTGCCGGCTCACGTTCTCGGGGGACAGACCACGGGTGGACTGGACCTGGCCATTACTGCAGAAACCCCACCAGGCACGTCTCTCCTCTGTGTGCTCATGTTCTCCTTGTATTTGTAACTATTTTAAAAAATGCACTGAGTTTGGGTTAAAAACCAACCACCAAAGTGGATCTCAACACAGATCTAAAGCCCAGAGGAGGAGCGTCGGGCTCGTCTGACACAGCGACTCCTGGAGGCCCCCTGTGCCTAAAGTCCCTTCTCAGTACTGAACAGTGGGTTGATTCTCTTTTTACAATAAAAAAAGCTGAGTAATATTGCATAGGAGTACCAGAAACTGCCTCGTCGGAAACAAGAACTATTTACATTAAATAACCCGGCTGCAGGCTGCGTCTGCACATTTACAGCATGGTGAAGCACACTGTGACCGACCGTGGAGACAGCTCCGGGCACTCACACCACAGGGGCACGTTGCCACATGAGAGTAAAGCGAGGGCAGAAGGAGGGAGTGAGGGGGGGAGAGGAGTGCGGCTCACTTCTGGTTCCGGAGCTGATTGGACAGCCAGTCCAGTCCCTCATACAGCCCGTCCCCACTGGTGGCACAGGTAGCCTGAATGTACCAGTTCCTGTGGCGCAGAGAATGCAGGCCCAGCTTGTCTGTGATCTCGGCCGCATTCATGGCGTTGGGGAGGTCCTGGTGGGAGGGGTGCACAGCAGTTGTGGGTCAGTGGGACATGCGGACTCCTCCTCATTCAACCTGTGACCCCTCAGACCCCCAAGTCCCCTATGGTTGGTCACCAGCCCAATGTGCGCCCACCACCAGCACATGGAGTGGCTTGGTCACGCATGTGTGCATGCATGCATACCTGCTTGTTAGCGAACACGAGCAGGACAGCGTCCCTGAGCTCGTCCTCCGCCAGCATCCTCATGAGCTCCTCGCGGGCCTCGTTCACACGTTCTCTGTCATTGCTGTCAACCACAAAGATGAGACCTGCAGGGCAGCAGGCATTAGTGCAGGCACCGAGGACAGCCCTGCCCTCTCCCACAGGCCACGGGCCCACCCTCACCTTGTGTGTTCTGGAAGTAGTGGCGCCACAGAGGCCGGATCTTGTCCTGGCCGCCCACGTCCCACACAGTGAAGCTGATGTTCTTGTACTCCACGGTCTCCACATTGAAGCCTGCAGGAGCATGGCCAAGGTGAGCCCCCCTGCCCTGGAGCTGCCCAACAGCCCCCAGCAGCCCAGCCTCTCACCTATGGTGGGGATGGTGGTCACGATCTCACCCAGCTTCAGTTTATACAGGATGGTGGTCTTCCCCGCAGCGTCCAGGCCCACCATGAGGATGCGCATTTCCTTCTTGCCAAAAAGGCCCTTGAAGAGATTCGCAAAGATATTCCCCATGCTGCAGACGGTGGGAGCAACACTGGCCAGAGAAACCTGCAGAGACAGGGAGTCCGGGGTCTCTTTCTGTGCTCCCCAGAGCCGGCACCACAGGAGCAACTCGGAAACCACCCAGCCTTGTACTCCCACCCACGGACAGACTGATGGACAGACACCCTGCTACCTCCTCCTGAAAGCTCACAGGGCAGGAGCTGACGAAATTCCAGTTCCTGGCAACAGAAAGCGTCTTGAACTCCCACATAACCCTTAGAAGGGAGAGTCTGGGAATCTTAGGAACAGGACTGACTGGAATTTGAGACAGCTGCTGCCATCTCAGGAAGTGTTGCCCAAGGCCACACTGCAACCTGCCCCTAAGTCCCACTCAAGTTTCCGCTGTGGGGCACAATGAGAGACACTCGGGAAGAAGGGCTGTTTACCCTGCGACAGCTGTGGCTTTCAGATACATGCCAGATCCTCCACAGTCTAACAAAGAGCTTTCCAAGGGGCCAGAAACAACCACCCCAAGGACTGACTGTGTCTCCCAACTGCCCCCCAAGTCCAGTGGAACACGGCCCAAACTCAAGATGCCTAATGCATGGGGAGCTAGGGACCCCCGTCCCGGCCCAGCACAGGCCCAGGCTGACTTGACTAACATGCTGAGAGCTCAGCGCTTACCCTGCAGGCAGGACTGGGACTGAGAACCCAGGCTTGCAGGCAGCACACCAGGCATTAACTCCCAAGTGAGCCCACAGCAGTGGCCCCAGGAGAACCTGTCTGGGTGCTTTCCTGCCAGCTGTGCTCACTGCC